GTAGAGCACGCTGCTCTCCAGCCTCTCACGCTACTTCCGCAGGGGAGCCCCCAGCTCCCCTGCTGCTGGCGTCCTCCCTTCGCCTCAGGGCAAGTCCACCTCTGTCTCCAAGGCCAGCCCCGAGAGTCAGGAGCCTCTGATCCAGCTAGTGCAGGCCTTTGTCCGGCACGTGCAAAGATAGGGCAGTGGCACGCCGCCCGCCTGCCACTCTCCACCAGCCTGCCCAGCAGCCCTGGGCAGCGGGTGTGCTGCTGGCCTGACAGGGCCTGTCTGGGACTGAGAGCAGCTCCTGTCACCCTCTCCTGAGTAGCCACGACTCCGACCACCCGCACACTGGCATTATTTTTGTAATAGATCAAGAGGTCAGCAGCAGGGGCGGGGAGCCACAGTCTGCTGTGCTCACACCCTCACCTTCAAAGTGCCCCAGAGGTGTACGCCTTCCCTTCAAGCATTCCCCAGAGCACTTGACCCCGGCCCAAGAAGAGACGGGGGAGCCAATGTCACGTGCCGCCAGGAGAGGCTGTATGCACGGGTTTGAAAATCTGTTTTCCATGCTCTGTTCTTGCAGTTTTTTGGTAATACTGTGGTCTATTTATACAAATATTAAAATACTGTTTATAGACAGCTGTGTGATATGTGCCTTCAGAGCCCAGGGATGACCAGCCAGCCCCCAGCGCATCGAGCGAGTCTTCCTGGGCGGGGGGCTGGGGAGTGGAGTGGTTTGCGGGGGGCGGGATGGTTACTGATGGCTGACTCACTGACACCCTTCCATTAATGTGCGGGGCTGTGTGTGCTGGGTGGGCACTCAGATTTTCCCTTCCTTGGCTTGCCTAGGTCTGGTCCTCCCACCCATGCCACACACTGCCATTTACCAGCTGGCTGAGCTTATCACTGGGGGTAGCTGCTCCTTCCTATTTATAGCTGTGCCCCCACCTTCTTTCCCCGCTTCAGAAGCCCTGGCAGTGGGGCCCACCAGCCTGTGGCCTCAGTACCTATTTGTGGAGGGCTGGGTCTAAGGGCCTTAATTTAAAATTGTGCTTGTAGTCTAAACCCGCTTGAAGTTTCTAGAATCATCGACTTTCCTGGGCTAAAGTCCTGTGTAGTCACTTGCCAATCAAGGAACCTTGAGGAGGTGACAAATCTTTGTCTGTGACATGAGAATACATGTGAATGTGCTTGGCTCAATGCCGGGCCTACAGGAAACACTGACAGCCATCAATCCCTGGAGCTTAAACCATCACGCGCTTTTATAGTCCATTCTACTCTGCCCAAATTTAGGAAAGTCTGTCTTAGTAATACAGTGTCCACTATGCAGTGTCAGGTATAGGAACTGTGCTCACTCCCATCTGAGCAGCACAGGCCCTGTGGGAGAAGGGGAGTGCTGTGAGCGGTACTTGAAAGAACTTGCTTTTCCCTCTGCCCTAGTGCTTCTGGGAGGAGAGCCAACAGCATTTCTGTGCGTCAGTCTCTGCCTGGAAGTTGGAATGGGGCAAATGTGAAGGCTTCTCTTCCCTTTCCCATCCTCAGGGTCAGCCCCGTGAGGTCCACGACCCCGGACAGGAGCCAGGCAACATGCACGCGAAGGACGGTTTATTACTCGTCACTGGCTAGAGCGCAAGCAGACAGGCAGAGTAAAAAGATCAGTTAAAAAGTGAGTGTGGAGAGGTGCAGGCTGCAGCCACTGTACTTGGCTTGAGCTGTAGGGTGCGAGGGGAGGGTAGCACCGGGGAGAAGCCGCTCCGTGGCCCAGCCCTGCCTCTCCAGCCAGGCTCCCCTCCACTCCAGGTCATTCAGAGGGAACAGCACCCATTCCCTGGGGCCTGCCACAGACCTGCCTGCCCTTACCCCTTCTCTGGTTTTGGCAACTAAAAGGCAGCTGCTCCCTGGCCAAGGGAGCACCGCAAAGCTCCCTCAGGCCCTCTATGCGGACCACCCTCGGGCTGAGGTGCTGAGTGCAGCGACTGTAGCCAGCCCCTCCCTCCTTAGCAAGAGCTGGGAGGGCTGGAGTGCTCGGGACGCACGCAGGGTTGGGGGCTCCAGAACCAGGTCAGAAGCAGGGCTAGGGGAGGAGCTGGAATCATTTAGCCTCTGGGCCCCTCGCAGCTGATGACCAGGGGCAGGGACAGGAAGGGGTTAGTCTCCCCACCCTGAGCAGCTAGGTCACCAACAGACAAGACAGATGGCAGGGCTGCACCCGTCCTCTCCTGCCCAGGCCAGAACAAGCAGGGGCCTGGGAGGGGGCCTGCTTAGCTGAGCAGTTCCAAGTAGGTGACAGGGACCTTCCCTTTCTTGTTGCCTCTCTCGCCAATGAGCCAGTCGGGGTCCATGCCAGGCAGGCTGTAGACAGTGATGAGCTGGAGAGGAGGGCAGAGAGGGAGGGTCACGCCCTGGCCAGGGCAGAACTGGCCCAGGACTGAATGGGGACAGAGCTGTGATCCTGTGACACACGGGCACCTACACCTCCAGAGGTGGGCGTTCACTTCCTCGCCTGCTCTACAGACATGGCAGAGTTGAGGCTGGTTCCTTAGAGCTGGAGCACCCCAAGTTCCCCCGGGTCCTAGCTCCACAGCTAGAGACTCTCAAAGACTTGAAGACTGGTGTAGGGTCTGCGGGTCCAAGGCTCCCAGTCCTGCTTCCCCGGCGTGGTAAGCCAGCCCTTTGCCGCCACCCTAGTAGCACCCAGGCCCACCTCATCAGCCAGCAGGGCCAGCTCACTGCTGTCGGCTGCCTCGTAGTCGTAGAGGACCCGGGCCTTGCGGGTTCCGCTGGCGGGTGGAGCCACCTCCTCCAGGCAGAGCGCGGCCTCTCCCGGAGGGGCCAGGCCAGCCACAGAAGGCTCCACAGGCATAGTGGCCGCAGTGGTGGTGGGTGAGGTGCTGCTGAGGGGCGGGGAGGCGGGCTCTGTGGTGCCCACGAAAGTGCCTGGAAATCTGGAGAGGTGTGGAGGGCACATCTCAGTAGCTGTGAGCTACATCCAGTGCCACGTGCCCCCCAGGACACCAGCTGGGCCCACCGCACAGGTAAAGAGACCCCGTTTACTTACAGGGCTCCCTGGGAGCTGGCAGCATGAAAGGAAAAGTGAAGGGGGAAAAGTGAGGCCCTGTCCCTGCCACCCTTCCACCCCACACTTGAGGAGCCGCTCAGAGGCCCCCAAGGCCAACCACCTCACTGTCATCCAGAGAGGGGGGTGACAGCCCAGCAAAGAGGGTTCCAGGCAGAGCCGGTCTCAGTCGGCAGCCCTCTAACCCGCCCATGCGCAGCGGGGCTTTCTGCGTTTGGGAGGAGGTTCTCGCCCGGGGGAAGGTCGGGCTGCTCATTGGGCCTGGGAGCCAGGGGACCCCAGTGGGCACCTGCCCAGCTGTTTCTGTAAGTCCAGCATGTGGCGGTAGCACTGCGCATAGTAAGTTGTCTGAGATTCAACAAACTCATGGAGGCAGCGAAGGTGATTCACCTGTGGGGAAGAGGCCCAGTGGTGACCGGACGGGCGTCTCGGGATGAAGCGTTCCACCCCCACCCGGTCCTCCGCCACACCCAGGCCCCGCGCTCCAATGGCTTCTGGCCCAGCCTCTTGCTCCTCGGCTGGAGGAGAAGGTTCCCAGCCTTCCAGACTTGCTCTCTCTAGGCTAAATTCCCTGCTTAGGGACCTCGGGCTCCAGCACTGCCCTTCCTCACCTGCTTCCCAGGCCCAGGTGCAGTCACGCCTCATTATGGACAAGTTTAGTGGGGACATGAGTGGTGACAGTGGATAAGGAAGGAGGAAGTGGGAAGAGGACTCACGTGAGTGCTACTGATTCCCTCCAGCAGGAGACGGGTCACCTCTGCCTGTCGATCAAACTCTGTCTGGGCCACTCGGAGCTCCTGCTCGGACTGAGAAGGGCGGGGTAGGGGCTGGTGAGTGTGTCAGAGCCTGAGGCCCCCAGCTTCCCTCCCATCAGCCTTTCCCTGCGCCCTGAGGCCCACCCAGAAGTGGCCTCCTCCCCTCGATGGCAGATGTCACTTCCCACCCACCTCAGACTTTGGGCCTGGAGCCCTGACCCCTGGAGGAACAACTATAGCCCTGCCTGGACCCCATGGGCCAGTTCCGCAACAGCGGACACAGACACAGACCCTGAGGGCTGGGCTTTCACATGGATTGGTCTGCCTGGTGGAGGCACACTGTGGAGGTGGTCTCCCCACGAAAGGGAAGTGGGGCATGGACAGCACCCCCAGAGGCCCTGGCGAGCAGGGAGGGGCAGACCCGGAACTAGAAACAGACCTGCCCGGACTCCCACTCCCCACCCGCTTCCAATCCTCTTCCCCAAGTCCCCTAGCCCCCACTCACCTTGTCCACCTCATCATTCCAGAGCTGTGGAGACCACAACAGGGCCGGTCAGCGAGGGCAGGAGGGGGGAACCAGTCAGCAGGGGACAAGAGGTGGGGAAGGAAAGCTGTACCCCAGAGCTGGTGCCCTGCCCCAGCTCGAGTCTCTGCCCTCTTCCCACCAAAAGCCTTCTCAACTCCCTCCCCAACCCAACCAGAGGCTGGTGTGACAGGGACACTGGTGACCACAGGCCAGTCCAACATGCCACATGCAGGGGCTAGGGACAGCCAGCTGGAAAGTCCTGCTTGGGTTTCTACATTGTCAGCCCCCAAGCACTGACTGGGGTCAAGAGGGACACTGAGCATCCTCCATCCCACTCTGACACCTGGCTAAGGCTGCTGGGCCAGGAGGCAGAACTGTGTGACCCTGGGCCAGTCACTGAACCTTTCCATCCTTCGGCAGAGAAAGGCAGCCTCATGCCTGGGTCACACTGTTCAATGGCCAAAAACAAAGGGCAGTCTCCACCATCTAGAACGCTGCTCCTGCCACGCAGCCCAGGAAGGGGACAGAAAGTATGAGCCAGTCTAGAGAAAGACCCCTCCTCCTGCCACGACTCAGGAGACCCCCTTTCTCCTGCCCACTGCAGGGGAGCTACCCTAGGACTATAACCTGAAATACGGAGCACAAAACGAGGCCAGCCCTGTGAGCAGAGATGCCCCGCCACATCTGTCAGGAAACCGTATCACCGGAAGCCACCTCCACGTGTACAGATGTAGGGTGCACAGTAATAAGGGCCTGGTGGCTTAAACTGTGGTTGACGTCCCCAAGGGAAGATGGCCCAGCCACCAAATGACTGCACGAATACACGCGGCAACATGCTTGTGACAGAGGTGAAGAGGAGCCAGAGGGTCTGTGTGGGAGGACGTCACCCATGGGGGAAGTGGCAGGACAGAGAAAAGGCAGGAAAAGGCACAGCAGTGGTTGTGACAGGCATGACGGGAGGAATGTGATCGGCCTGTTTCCCACACTAAACAGTAAATACCAGCTATCTCGATGAAGCTGTAGAATAGATACCGAGACATTCAAAGTCTTCTGCTCCTGCCCCGGTCCCCGCCCACCCCACCCCGCTTCGACTTCTGTCCTCCTCAGGACAGACCCTGTTCCCGATCCTCTGGGCCCGGGCACAAGCTGCCCCTTCCGCCTCGATGCCCTCCCTCCCTCCCTGCTCATCGCCAAGGTCCCCTCACGCTCCCACGACACCCAGCAGATGTGCCATAAAGGCAGCTGGATGAACAGCACCACCCTTGTCGCCTGTCTTCAGGGGTCTGTGAACTCGTTGCTGGCCAGGCCCAGGCCTCCCCTCTCCTCAGGGCTGCACAGGGCCTGGCAGGCAGGAATGGTGAGTGGGGGTTGGGAAGCAGGGCCTGTTTTGAGGGACCAGGGTTGTGGTTGGTGCAGGCTGACTCTCAGGTCCACTAGAGATGGGACAGCTGCCGCCCCAAGTGCACTGCACTGTTCAGTGCGGCTGGTCCAGTCTCCACCATCAGCATTTTACAGGGAGAAGCGAGGCCGGTCACAGGGCACGGGGACAGGGGACAGGCAGGTGGACGGAGCCTTTTGGCACTGGCCTGACTGAGTGAGCAGTGGCCCTGCCTTACCCTGTTTCCTGTTTGCTGTGCCACAGGCCCTTCAGTGTGGGAGGGGCTGGGGGAGGCCAGGGGTGGGGTGGGGTGGGGGCGCTTACCGCGGAGGCGCTGGCCGAGAGAATGTAATTACGAGGTCTAGTCTCCTGAAAGTCAGGCACCGTCTGGCAGGGACAGAGTTCATGGGGGAAGAGGGGGTCACACTGGGCTGGGGCTGGGCTGGGGCCAGGAGGCCACCCCAGAGTCTCCCACAAGGTGACGCCAGGAGCCCTCGGCCCCAGGGACAGGAGGCTACAGACAAATACATTATAGACCCCCCTATTCCCCCTGCTCCCCACGCCCACCACCTGGAGAGGTGGGTTTAGAGACCCAGAGAACAGAGACGAAGACCAAGTGGGTGGACACGCTGGGGAGGCCAGCAGAGCAGATGCAACACGGAGACAGCCTGCGGCTGCTGTCACACCCTTTGCCTCTGGGCAAGTCACAGACTGGATCCAGCCCCTGGCCCAGGGGTCATGGCCCACACCTCCCTGGACCCCAGTCTCACTCGGATGTCCCGGTTAGACCCAGTCTTCAAAACAAACACCTCCCCCCACAGCTTTCTCCATTCCAGAATCTCCACACTCATCTCTTGGCCCGGCAGCAAAGACCAGGCCCCTCCCCCACAACGAAGATGGACAGATGGATGCACGGATAGACAGAGTGACAGGCTTTCAACATTTGCAAAAAGCTGACTCACAGGCTCCAATGCCTGGCATCCTCCCCCAATAACAGAGGCTACCGATGGTAGCGGCTCTGCTGGGGAGACCAGCTGCTTGCAAAATGCCCCAAGGATGGGCCCCAGGCCGGCCATGGCACTGCGGGCCCCAGGCCGGATGGGCAAACCAGAAGCAGCACAGCACATGAGACAGGTATACTCACATCTCCCTCACACTGAGCCAAGTTACCCAAAGCAGAACGGAAAGGAACAAAAACAAAGAGTTAGTGAGTCCACAGCGCAGGCGGGAGCAGGCCCCCCAAGCCCCGGCGGGAGGGGACACTAGGTGGACGGGCAGATGGACACACGTGACTCGCCCCCTGGAGGGTGTCCTGCTACGTGCGTGTGCGTGTGTCTAGAAGGGTAGGGATGAGGAAGTGAATTGCTGGGCGTGAGTCCTCTGGGAATCTGTACCTGGGCTGCCCAGGTCCCAGCTCCGGGGAGGGCATCCCGGCCTAACCCCAAGGCCTGAGGTTGTCCCGGTCAACCAATCCGGTGACTAAGAAAAGGCTGCCTGGCCTGGATGATGGAGGAAAAAGCTTGTTCTGGCCAAGACATTCCAGAGAGGTTGTCCAGCTCTGAGTGACAGGAAGATCATCCTGTCCAGGTGACTTATAAAGGTCCTAGCCAACCCAAACAAGACTCCAGTGGCTGAGCCCGCCTCCAATCTGGACCCCACACACCTAGATGAGCTGATTAGTTCAGGATACAGAACATCTGTATCCGTATCTACCCAGAGGCTGTGCAGGCCCAACTCCACAGCCCCACGCGGCCACACTGTGAGAGGGGACACACGGAGGAGGTTGGAGGCCAGAACGCTCACGAGCAGCTGAGAGCCTGGGCTGCACCTGGCCTTCCTTGGCTGAGCGTCTGGGTAGGCACAGGTTTCCCTGGCATGCTCGAGACCTGGGGACTCCCTCCTCAGGGTGTGGCCTTAGGGTCCCTACACCCCCAAGCAGCCTGGCATGCCAGGAGTGTGCTCACCCTTGGGCCCAGCTCTCCCAACCCTGGCCTAGCCCTGGGCAAACTGTCTCACTCTGCGTCCCACTGGCCCGTCCTGGCTGAACAGGCCTCAGTGAGCTGAGTGAAGGGGCTGCCGAGACAGCCCCGGCCTGACCTAGTCTCATGGGGCCACCTGGAAGGGCCCCACAGACATGCTCCGGAGCAAGCATGCGGTCCTGCTCTTGGGTTGTCCACACTGTCACAGGGGGACCTGAGCAAGGGTGCCCTGGGACCAGCACTGGAGCAGCGGCTGTGGCAGTTAGTAAGGGCGAGCCATGCCCAGGCAGAGCATCGGGGGGCAAGGGGTGGCGGGAGCATGCGAGACTCTAACTGCGTCCGTCTGGGGAGGCTGCAGGGTGCCCTGAGCCCAGGTTGGGGCACTGCTGGTCAGCCCACCCCGTAAGTGCCCCGGGACCCAGAGCTCTGGGTGGCCAGGGTCCCTTGGGGGTGATGGCAAAGAGGTGTGACCTGAAGTGGCCAGCTTGGACCAGTGCCCCCAGCCAGGCCTCTCCAGGCAGCGAAAGAGGAGAGCAGTCATGCCAAACACCAGGTCCTTTCACCGCCACCCCCGACTCTAACCAGAGCCGGCGGTGGGAGGTCAGCGGGGACACCTACCGTGGCTTTGGCTTCCGCGGCCTTGGCCTTCTTCAGCCGGGCTTTGCAGGCGTCCAGGTCTAGACGCCGGTTTTGGAGGAGCCGCCTCTCCTTCTGCAGGTGGGGAAGAGGGAATAGTGAGACCCTGGGCCGTGGCAGGACTGGCCTATGGGGCCATCTGGTCAAGACAGGGGAAACTGAGGCCCAGACCGGGAAGGTTATCCACTCCAGGTCGCTCAGTCCACAAGAGCCACGTCTGGGGAAGCCCCAGGTGTGCTCGGTGCCCAGCGTGGGAGGAGAGCTTTGCTCACGGCGCTGAGGAGAGGGCTGCCCTGGTCACGGGGAAGCAGAGTGGTCCCAGGTCCCTCACCGAGATGGTCTTCCAGTCCCCTTCTAGGAAGTTGCGCAGGGGCGTGAGGAAGTTGATGGAGGCCGTGTGGATGAAATCCCGCTCTGCGGCTCCCAGGCGCTTCTCAGCCTCTGCCACCTTGATCAGGGTCTTCCCTGAGAAAACAGAGTTGGAGGTGAGGAGGGTCAGGCTGAGGCCGCTCAGAGCCCAAGAATGAGCGGGTGCTGAAGAGGCAGGAGCAAGGATGCTAAGGGCAGCATGGCCGGCCTGGGAAACATGGACACAATCTACGTACCCATCGGCTGGGGGCTGACAAATAAATAGTGGGCCATTCAAAACATGGAACATTACACTGCCATTAAAAAGACTGGGAGGGAGTGGGAGTTTGGAATGATAGAGAAAGGAACACAACCGATCCTCGCCCAAAGAGCATGAATAAAACTAAACAGTTGTCAAAAACAACCCTTTCTGGACTCTGGAAAAGGATGAAAGTGATTGAGAAGCAAGCAAGTGATTGAGAAGCATTTATTCTAGAACTGCTAGACTCTGGGAAGGACAATGGGAGCCTGTGGCTTTTTGGCTCCCACCTCCTCCAGCTCCGTGATGCTACAGCTCTACCAGGCAGGGGCGAGCCCTGAGGCTGGTAATCCTGCTGCTGGAGGGGGCTCACTTGATTTGGGCTGGAGCGCCATTGAAAAACACACAGATGCTACCGAAAACAACAGTGATCTCAATGGCAAATAATCAGGAAAGGCCAACACCACGGCTAACTTGAAGCTGGAATGCTGGTTGGAACAGGCAACAGACCTGGCAGAAATTTCACAGGAGATCTGGGAAACGAGATAGTCATAATGGGCCTTGATAAATTTCTAGATACCTCCAGTGGACTGGAAGGCTATGCGTGCGTATAGCACGCTCAGGAGAGACTGGAGAACCACAGCTGCTACTGATCCTAGGCTGAGCAGGACACTTTGCACACTCACAAAGTGAATGCTGGGCAGACTTGTAGACTGCTTTGCACGTGTTCCCCAGCCAGCTCACAATTGCATCAGTAAACCTTTAATGGTGCAATATTAAGCACGACCTCTGACCAGTTGCTGGCTGACTACTAACACATGCTGCCCGAGGAGCAACCCCTATGAAGCTAGGCTTAAAAATAAAAAGAATGATTTTAAAAAAACAAAGGCACAGGAATCAGTAGCTGCATAGTGCAGGGGACACAGACTAAACAATGAGCTAAAGCAAGTCTGTAAACAAACAGCAACAGCAACCCACAGGAGGATCTAAATTCAGAGCTGCTACATTATATAAAATGTCCGGATTCAACAAAATATTATGAAACACGCAAAGAAGTAGGTAAGTATGGTCAATACACAGGGAAAAAAGTAATCAGTAGAAACTGCCTCAAAGGAGGCCCAGATGTTAGGCTTAACAAAGACTTCTGAGCAGCTACTACAAATATGTTACTAAAAAAACTAACAGAATTGAAACTAATTTAAATAAATAAATTAAAAATTTTTTAAAAAGCTAACGGAAATCACATTTAAAGAATTACAGGCAAATACGTCAAATGACTCATCAAATAAAGAATATCAATAAAGAGATAAAAAATTATAAAAGAAATGGAATTCTGGAGTTGAAAAGCACAATGACAGATATGGCAAATGCGGGGGAGGGCTCCACAGGCTGAGCTGGCAGAAGAAAAAAATCAGCAACTTTGAAGAAAGATCAATAGAGATGATGTCATCTGAAGAACAGGAAGAAAAATGACAGCCTCGGAGACCTAGGGGAACACCATCAAGCAAACCAACACATGAGTGAGTAACATGAGTCCCTGGAGGAGAGGAAGGGACAGAAAAAAATATTTGAAGAAATGATAGCCAAAAATGCGCTGAATGTGATGAAAAACATGAGTCTCCATATCTAAGAAATTCAACAAACCAAAAATAGGATAAACAGAGAGATCCACAGCTAAGACATCTTAGCCAAACCGTTGAAAGACTGAGACAAAAAGTCTCAAAAGCAGCAAGAGGAAAGTGACCCTTCACATACAAGGACCAGATTAACCAAAGACTTCTCATCAGAAACAGTGAGGTCAGACAGCAGTGAGATGATACAGTCCAAGTGACGAAAGGAAAACACCCTCAGCCAAGAATTCTACATACGGCAAAACCGTCCTCCTAAAAGTGAACACTATTAAAATAAAGACAACTCCCAGATAAACAAAGACGGGAAGAATTCATGGCCAGAAGACTTGCCATGAAAGAAATACTTCAGGTTCAAAGGAAATGACACCAGATGGTAACTTGAATCCACATAAAGAAATAAACGGCACCAGTAAAGGTGATTATAAAGGCGATCATGAAAGGCAATATAATTTTTTTCACTTTTCTTAACTGACTTAAAAGACAACTGCATAAAACAATCATCATAAAATTGTATTTTGGGGCTTACAAGACCTAAAGGTGTAATACGCGTGACGACGAGATGGGACAGGGAATGGAGCGAAGTTTCCATATTTCACTCGAGCTACGTCAGTATTACTCTGAAGTAGACTGTGATAAGTCAAAATGCATATTGTAATTCATGTTGTAAAACCACTAATAAGTTTTTTTTAAGTAAAAAGAGCAACAAAAATTAAAATGTTTCATTAGAAAACATCTATTTAACACAGAAGAAGGCAGTAAAGGAGGAACAGATGAACACAAAGGACTCGAGACGTAGAGAAAAACAGTAACAAAATGGTATATGTAAATCCGACCACACCGGCACTTACATCGAAGGTAAAAGGATTAAACAGGCCAATCGGAAGGCGAAGACTGTCAAACAGGGTATTTGCTTAAAAATCCAAATAGAGGCTGTCTATAAGAGACACGCTTTGGACTTAAAGACATAAATAGTCCGAAAGTAGGAGGACAGCAAAAGGTATACCGTGCAAATAGCAGCCATAAGAGAACAGGAGTGGCTGTACTACTATCAGATAAAACAGACTTTAGACAAAAATAAAGTTACTAGAGACAAATAGCAGTGCCTTACAATAAGAGTCAATTCGGCAGAAGGATATACAATTATACACATACAGGCCTAACAACACAGCTCCAAGATACATGAAGCAAACACGGACAGACTGAAGACGGAAGGAGACAGACAGCTCAACAGAAATAGACTTCGGTATTCTCGACGACAGGTAGGACAAGACAAAATCAGCAAGGAGACAGAAGATCTGAACACTATCGACCAATGTGGCTCAGCTGACATCTCTACAACACTCTACCCGAAACATAATCTATAACCTTCTCAAGCGAGCGTGGAACATTCTCCAGGAGAGACCGTATACTAGGCCATCAACAAGTTTTAATAAATGTAAAAGGACTAAAATCATGCAAAGCATGTTCTCTAAGTGAAATTAATTTAGAAATCGACGACAGGAGGAAACTTGAAAAATCTACAAATATCTAGAAATCAAACACCATCCCGTTGGTGGGAATATAAAACCACACAGGCACTTCCTTTGGAAGAGTTTGGTAATTTCTTAAAAAGTTCAACACAAATTTACCACATGACACAGCAATTCCACTTTCTAGGTGTATACCCAGGAGAGGTGAAAAAAATACGTATTCACAAAGGTCCCTGGGCAAATGTTTACAGAAAAACCCAAAATGTCAAACGGTGTCAAACGGCGAGCAGATAAAATCCATACAATAATATACTATTCAGCAATAAAAAAAGAAATCCTAAAACACGCTACCATAGGGATGAACCTCAAAGACATGACGTGAGTAGAAAGAAGCCAAATGCAAAATAACCATATACTCTATGATTCCATTTCTATGAACTATTCAGACCAGGGAGGCCGGTAGCGCCACAAAGCACATCAGTGGTTGGCTGGGGTGGCGGTGGAGACCATAAGTAAACACGAGGGATTTTTTTGCAGGTAATGGGATGTTCTTTAAATTGGATCGAGGGGGTGTTTGCACAACTCTAAACGTACCGAAAATCATTGCATTACACAATTAAAACAGGCGCATTTTATGGTATATAAACTATACCTCGATAAAACTTTATAAAACTAAAGATGAAAAAAATAAAATGAAATAAAAATAAAGATTGAACAAAGTAGTCACAGGGATATAAGTGCAGCTTAGGGAATCTAGTCAATAATATTGTAATAACTATGTATAGTGCCAGGTCGGGGGATCGCTTTGTAAATTCTATAAATGTCTAACCACTAGGATATACACCTGAAACTAATACAAAATAATATTGAACGTCTACTCTAATTGAAAAATAAAGATTTTAACAATCAATCAAGACTGAGGTGGCTCTATAAAGTGCTACTGTGAAGACATCTATAATGCGACGCCGAGGTTAAAAATCAAGTTTCAGAACGCACACTACGATCCCATTAAACAAGGCACACAAACCAAAACTGGTTAAGAGACCTCCATTTTTTACTCTGTTTTCCTTGCTACTGTTTGAGATTTTTACAATTAGCATGAATTCAGGTATTATATGGGTAACGACAAAGACAAAGTAACGAAGGGGCGGGGAGGGAGGAAAATGAGGGCCAGAGACCAGGAGCCCCGCCGGCTGCAGGGCCTGGCTCACCGTAGGGAGTGGTGGGCCCCAGCTCGCCGGCCGCCTCTGTCATGTACTGTGCCAGCAGCTCCCCATTGGTGACCCGAGAGGGCACCTTCCTGTCCAGCTTCTCGTACAGGAACTCCTCCACTCGGGCACCTGTGGGCGACAGAAACCAAGTTATAGGACTCTTCCGTCCAACCCAACGATGAAAGCCATAGTGACAGGAACAGACCCAAAAGAGATAGCGACAGATACATAGAAACGAATGATAATGACAGCACAACACACCAGGACACATTGTATCAAAGTTATCAGAAATCAACGACAAAGAAACAGACCCAGACCAGAGCCTGCCCAGCCTCCTGACTTCCAGAGTGTTCTCTTGCTGATGCCCACTTCAATCCTATGAGACTGGCCCTCGACCCTGAGGCACCCCTCACTCTAGAGGGGAGGTGGCCATGGCTCAGAGACATGAAAGGCCTGCCCCAGGCCCCTCACCTGGGGGTGACGGGCCCAAGGTCAAGGCCCCCTCGCTTCTCCCACATTACAGTATAGAGTTACGGAACAAAACACACATATGAACTGTGCCCTAACCCTGCAAACAGCCAACTTACAGGCAGAGCAGCATCTCTACCCCGAGGACCCCTCTGACCCTCTGTGCCCACGGGCTCTCCTGCGGTTTGCTCCTGCTTGCTCCGTGCTCCAGGGTGACTCTGGACAAGCCCCTCCCCCATCTCTGGGCCTCGCTGCCCGCGTTCCAAGGCCCCAGCTGGTGTTTCTCCTGCCTCTTCTCCCAAGTGTGTTCCCCTTTCCAGGCACTTCCTCCACTCCTCCGGGCCAAGCTTAGCGTTTCTGTCGCTCCACAGAGCCCACCTGGCACCGAGTCCGCTGTTTTCTTTGACTGGGACCCCCCGCAGCAGCCTCAGCCCCCAAAGTCTAACCGGCATCTCAGCCAACACCCAGTCCCACCTGCTAGCCTCTGCCACCAGCTTCCTGCCCTCGCCCCAGGACCAGTACCAGTCCACTCACTGGGGTTGGGCTGCAGAAGCACCTCCGTCTGCCTCAGGATTTTCTCCGTCCAGTTCTTGGTGCTGTCCGCCCGGGCCAGAAGGTTCTCAAAGTGGGCATCAAGCTCGGTCTTCTCGGCCTGGCCAAATTTCTCCTCTGTGAACTGTGTGGGCAGGGCTCAGAAGGAGGAAGGGAGGACTGTCCCTGCCCCCGTCCCCTCCCCTCTAGCCGGAACCCAGGTCCCAAGCTCAGGAAACTTCCTCCGTCCGCATCCTGTTCTGCAACCTTGATCAAGTTACGACCCCATCCTGGGCCTCGGCTTGCCCCGCTGTGAAATGAGGTGGCAGACCAGAGTTTGGGGGTCATGGCTTCTTTTGGAAATCCAATGAAAGCTACAGATCTCTTCCCCTCGAAAAAAGCACATCTGTACAAAACCTGGCCTACTACTACTTAGAGGGGTAAGGGACCCTTGGGAACCCATCGCGAAGGGTCCTCCAAGCCTGACTCTGTAGGAAAGAATTTGGCAGTAAGCGCTTGCGGAACAAACAGGGCACAAAGCAGGTTTTGGGGTTACCAAGAGGCTTAGTGGAGGGCTGGGAGGCCCTGGGGAGGGGGCCAGGGGGGAGAATGGTTCTAGAATCGGAAGGACCTGATTTAAGTCTCAATTCTGCTATTGATGAGCTGTGTGACCTTAGGAAGTGGTTTTGCCTCTCCAAGCACCAGTTTCTTGAGCTGAAAAACGAGGATGGGTCACAGCACGCCTTTCATAGGTTGTGAGGACGAAATGAGAAGACCTGAGGCCGGGGTCTGGCAGGCAGTCGGCCGGTGCTCGACGGTGCTACTTGTTAAGAGCTGATGGGCGGAGACAGCTGGGAAGGAAAGACTGTGTGGGACGAAGACTGCACGGCCTCCCGCCGCCTGGTGTGATGGATGGGGAACAGTGCCAGCCTATCGGAGCCAGCTCCAAGCACACCCAAGGCCCAGAAAGCTCAGCAGCCCCACCCCAAGGCCAAGCAGGGACCAGAATGTCACACACGTCCCCCATTAGAGCTGGCAGAAGCCACATGGGCCACCTACGAACAATCGGAAACCAGCCCAAGTCCTGGCCCCTCTGATCTAGAAGGGCCCTTGAACAAATGTCCCCATAGGGCCACCAAGGCCTTCTCCAGCCAGAGGAAAGAGTCTGCTCAAGGTCACAGCCAAACAGCAGAAGGGGAAACACTGCAGGAAGATCGGTAATAACAACAGATATTGTTGACAGTCTTGGTGGCCCGACTCTACGCCAAGAGCTTTACTAATGACCCCTCTGTAACTTCGACAGCCCTCCAAGGCCATCGGGTCAAGTTTCCCATTTCACAGACGATGCCACTGAGGCTGACAAAGGGCAGACTGTGCTGGCGTCGGGGTCATCGCGGGCTAGGGGTCTGGAGGCCCTTCCCAGACTATGTGGCAGTGATGAATTATCCAGAGACCAAGGCCGACCCCAGAAGCAGAGAGCAGGAGGCAGCCACCAATAGTCCTGCATCTAGTCAGGCTGCTTGGCAGCCATCAATTATGCAACAGGGCTTGGGTTTCTCTCTGCAGGGCTGGGCGGCCAGGGCTATAGCCTGCGGCTCTCCACCTTGGACCAGCTGCTCAGGCCTCCCCGCCTCTCCCCATTCCTCATCTCCCCCACCTTCCCCAAACTGAGGCCTCCCAGAGCCAGGCCCCAACCAGGACTCACCTCACCCAGCCCTCTGAGCCGGTGGCCTCAGCCCCATTTTCCAGATGAGGAAACCAAGGTGCAGGGAGGCAGCCCCCTCTCTGGTCCTCAGTTTCCCACCTGGAGAATGGGGATAACAGAATCTATCTGATGGGATATTTGGAAGGTGCTTAGATATTTGGAAGGTGCATCAGACACAGTATGGGTCTGATGAATATTAGCTGGTGTTATCATCATCATCTCAATAACAGGCTTCCCTCAGGTCCCTCCTTGGCTCTCAGGAGCTACCTAGAGACTTCCTTACCACAATGGTACCAGTAACCCCGGTTTAGGTGACATGTACCTCAGCATCTCCCTGCCTTACCAGGGTTAAGGGTGGCCCTCCGTCACTCACGCTCCATGTCCACCCATGTCCAAAGTCCTACCAGGTTTTCTCAACCTCTTGGGCATCCATCCCATGTCCACTGTTGTCTGCCTGGCTCGGATGATGACGATGCCACTGCCTCCCTGGATTTTATTGTTATTACTTCTCTTGCTCCTCGTACTGTTACTGCAATTCCTACTGATAGTATTAGTACTATCGCTTCTACTGCCCACCCCACCCCTACTGGCATGGTACCCAGAAACGCCTGTTTTCCTGCCTCAGTGCCCTTAGCTGAGCTGTTCCCACCACCTGGACCAACTTCACAAACCCCCCTGACTTTCAAGGCACAGTTCACGGACTAGGAAGCCATCTCAGCATCGCCCATGCAAAAGGGGTCCAGAGTCCAGATTCTTCCCCCAGTCCCCGGGTCTGGTTCCCTACCAGATGGGAGTGGGGCGAGGCTCTGAAAGGTGCCCCTGGTACACGGGAGGGGCTGAGCGCTTACCCAGCATGCCCCGGGTCCTACACAGAGATGCTGCCTACACACTGATACTAAAACACCCCCTCCTATCCCTCCTGGCTGACTCCTATCCCAGGGCAGACTGGCCTGGGTGGGTCCCCTGAGTGTCCTGTCCTGCTCAGTTCACATTTCAGGCCCCTCTCTCCTCTGGCCTGCCACCCTGCCCCATCCCTGCCAAGGGGAAGGGCCCGGAGCTTCAGAGGCTGATGCCTGCAGTCCCAGGCTGCTCCCTGCAAGATGGCAGCAGCAGGGGGTGGGCGTGCGGAGCCAGAGAAAGCCTCTATTTATAAAGCTCCCAGCTCCCTCCTCCACCCTGGAGGCTGGGGCCTGGGTGCTGGCTCCCACTCCAGTATGACTGACCAGTGGGCTTGGCCCCACCAGGCGAAGCGAGGCCATAGGGCTCAAGTCTCTCCACATCGGGGCCCTGCAAGCCCTGGCCAGGTCAGGTGCCAGGGCCCCACAGTCGCAGAAAACCAGATCAGGTTCTTCCCAGATGTTCCAGATAACACGGCAGCCATATCAACACTGGAAGGACTTCCCACCTACCAGATGGACTGGGGCTGTCTGTCCCAGGGGCTCTGGGGCCTGGCATCCCCATGGGGCTTGGAATGAACACCAAGCAGCAAATCCTCAACGGGACATTGGGCTTTCTAGTAAACACAGCCACACAGGCTTCCAAGAGAAGGGCTGGGGCTGGGCTTCTCCAGAGATCCAACAGCAGGGCAAGGACAAACACAGAAGCCGGATGCCCTGGGTCTGTAAGACACCCTGAAGGACAGACGGGTGTTACACCTGATTGACAGAAGGGGACATGGAGGCTCCCAGAGAAGTGACTTGCCCAAGGTCACATGCTGCACGAGCGCAGTACCAACCATGTTAACACCAATAGTGAGCTTGCCTTAGTGAGCACACACAAGCAGAGCCTCACAGCCATCCTGGGAGGGAGGGATTGCTAAGCCCATTTTCCAGACTGAGAAACTGAGGCCCAGAGAGGCTGAAGCCCCTTTCCCAGGGTCACAAGAGGGAGCATCTACATCCACAGCTGACTCTAGGTGTTCACCTTTACAATCAGCTGCCTAGGTTTCTCTCTCCGCCCCCAAGTGGATAGGACTTGTTCCAATCCCTGCATCACTGGCCTGGGCGACTTCCCAAGGAGGGCACCCAGCCAGACCCCAGCCTTCTCCCCATCCCCCAGGCCTGGGGAAATATGAGGAAACAGGCCTCCCAGGGAGCAGAAAGGAAATAACCCCAGCCCTCCTGGCGTCCGGACTGACTATCCAAGCGTGTAAAAGGGACCTGTGAGAATCATGCTGCTGCAATGGGCATCAGCCCATTGCACAGGTGCGGTGACTGAGGCTCAGAGAAGGGGTCGTGGCGCATGAATGAGTCCTTGGGCCGGGACTCAGGCCTGCAAGGGCCTGCCGGGAGCCAGAGTCACTGCTGGGCAAGGGCAGGGAGGCCGGCACCGCTTGGCGCCCTCTCCCCTCCTCAGCAGAGTCCCTATCGGGGCCCTGGGCAGTTGCCAGAGCAGCGGAGTAACCCTGCCGGTCGAAATGCTGGGCACTGATACTTCCGTAGGCAGCAGGGCCGAGGCCCGGCTCAGTCCCCATCCCCCGGCCACACTGAGGGTGCGGCCAGTGGCCCGCCGCCAGGGGCCTTTCTCTCTCCTGGGCAGCGCAGAAGTCGGGGATGTGCGAGGCTAAGGTGTCCGCGAAGCGGGGAAAGGGGCGGCAGCCTGGAGGGGCTTCTCCTGCGCTCCCTAGACTCTGCTGCAGGGGTGCCGCCGGCCCACCCCACATCCGGGCCCCGGGAACCCGCTGCGCCGGGCCCAGGGCGCACGGCCTCACCTGCACCGCCCGGGTAAAGAAGATGCCCGCGTCCGACGCCAGCTTTTTCATGTTGAAGTCCATGGCGCGCCGCAAGGACGGCCGCGAGCA